GAATGGAATACTCTTGTTGGCCACCTGCCCTGTCTATTACCCTCCCCGAGGTGCAATCTCTTACTTCCTTGTGACCACCCTTTACTACGCAGCACCCCCAGCGTGGCACACAAGAGCCAGCAGCGGCCTTGGTCACTGCAGGAATAAGTATCAGCAAGAGCCTTTCTGCATCCCAGTCCCAGGCAGTAACTGCAAACATCAGGTGTTATCACTGCCAGTAGCACACACCGTCTGCAGAAACATGCTGCCAACTTCAGAAAGTGCAGCCTTTTAGAAGAGACTAAACTGTAAAGTAAAAATCACTAAACAGGACTGGGTTTTTAGCTAAACCCACTACACAATGAAAGGAACGTGATGCTTCTCGTAGCAATGCAGAAACAGGCAGACCCTGAGGCCCTCTGAGAGTGTGACAAGGACTAGTGAGATACATCCCACAATTTCCTCAACAAAGCAAGGGTCTTTAAGCCACACTGCTAAAAGAATTGCTTTTGTCTCTTTGTTTTCCTGAAGAAGACCAGAAAAGTCTGCTTACTGCTATGGAATGTAAAACTGTAGAAAAAAATCATTTGAAATAAAGTACCTTTGGAAAGCCAGAAAACCTTTACCCTAAGCTCAGCTGGGATTTAAATATTTTCCATTTCTTAGAGCAATTTTCATATACTTCATCAGCTGTAAGAATTTTTAACACCCATGGTATTTGCTCCTAAGCTCCATTAAAGCATGTCCTGTAACACTCGTTGGCATTTACTTACATGCTCAGAAACATTACAGGGAGAAAGGCAAAGCTTCCTGCAACTGTTGAAATTATGGAAGACTTTCAGGCTTGATTCACAGGAGAAACAATTGAGAGAAAAGCAATAGAGGAGCAACTGATAGGTACTCATGAACAAATTCACCCATCCCTGCAGCATCAAGGGCTACTAAAGGGCAAGAAGAGAGTCCCAACTCAGGTTCCAGTGTGTATTTGAAGCACATAGGATCTGAGGCAGATATCAGAAACAGTACAAAACCACTGAGCTGTCACAGAGAGTACCTGTTCTGTGGGCTAGAAACCAACTCTGTGGAAGTTGAAAGGCCCTCCATTTCCTTCAGGCTGGGGAACTTCACTGAAGCCAAGGGCTCACAGGTCATATTGCAGGCCTTGACTGCTCTTCAGAGTCCTTCTTCATCCAGTGAATAGGATAAATTGTTTCTGAGTAAAGAGCACTCACACCTTTGCAGCTCATAATGTTCTGGATATCACTGATGGAGCACCACTTCTTGAAGACACATCCAGCCATTGTAGTTGTCCACAAAGTCCTGCATGCAAAGCTCCATGAACTCATGCTCAGGTTTAAAGGATAGAAAGGCCCCATTCAGTAGATCCTGAGACTGGGCACCAAGGGCATTGGTGAGGTTCTTTAAGTTCTTAAGCACGATGAAGTCAGTGTCCAGGTAGATGCCACCAAATTTCCACATGGTGGCAACATAAGGTTCCGAGCACTGCTGAGCCTGCACATACCACTTTGCCAGAGATGTTCCAGAGAAAAGCTCTGTCGAGTCCAGGGGCTCTATTGCCACATTGGGGAAGGAGCTCAGCAAGGAGAAGGACCAGTAGTTGGGTAACGAGGTGTTGCCATTTGCCAAGCCCTTCGTGAGCACCACAACCCTTGTCCCAGGGTGTGTCCTCGCCACTGACTCCACAGAGCATGTGAAGAGGTAAGCTGGGTTAGTTTGCTCCGAGGTCTCCACAAAAAACACATCCCCTGGGGAAGGAGGGGGCCCACCAGCAATAGGATGGAGAAGGCGAGGCAAAAACTGCTTAGACCTGCTTTGTGTCATCAGGCTGTAGAGCTGGCTCTTAGCATCCTCCCCAGTTCTCCAGCAGAACAAGACAGAGGCAAAGAACACAAACTGTGAGGATAAACAGAGCCCTAAGCCTGTGGTTCAGTTTTACCGTGGTCAGTTTTATCAGGCCGTCGGGCATCCTGGGCAGTTTTGGTCCTGTCAAAGGCTGTTTTCCCAAGACAACTTCCATGATCTGAGGGGAAGGAAAGAAGAAACAGACCATGAGCCTTGGGACAGTGCCATAGCAAAGCAGAACTCTCCTTCCTTCACCTCATGGCAGTGTGCTTAAATTATGCCATTTGGTTATTTCTGAAATAGTCTCCTGGCTTCTCTGTATTGTTGCAGGGCCTTCAGATCCCGCATCAGAAACTATCATCCGTCTTTGGACCTCTCTCTTTCAAACACAAAAATAAGGACAAGCCTCTCCTTTGTGTATATCACAAACCAAGACTGATCCTCAGTTCCGTGTATATTGCCCATGTAAGTTGTGCTTCCCACTTGGAAGAATATACAGTGGATTTTGACACACAAATGGAACACCTTCATGGTGGTACACAACATACTCTGAGAAAATCATTAGAGACCTTATCTGTCATCTTCTAAAATTTCAGGTCCTTCTGGACATGAGACATATATGCAAAAAACCCTAAGATGAGGAAATAGCAATGCTCCTTATGAATATTTCCAGAGCTCTGCCACAGACATTGTGTAGAACTGTTGCCCTGATGAGAGTTTTTTCTGCTGACACTTAGTCTGTCCTTCCCCAAAACCAAATGCAATACTAAAACCCCAGTGCTATCATCAGCTCCTATCAAGAGGCATCAGTCTCTCAGGCTGTTGAACCAGCAGTTGTTGTCTTTCAAATTCAACCACTCGCCCCTGCAGAGGGCCTGGCTCATTTTTCACAGTGCTGTAGCATAGCAGAATAGATGGGCAGTGGAAGGGGAATCGATACAAGGCAGCTTTGGAGGCAGATGACAAGGACAAGAACTGTCTAGGTAAAAAGAGTTTCAAAGGCTGCTTCCCAACCCTGCTCCCCTGTCAAGTCCTCGCTTCTGCCTCCTCGGGTAGATGGTGCTGGCTGACCCAACTATCACCAACGCAGGATGCAAAGGCCATGCTGGCTTTGACCTGCTCAGCTCTGCCAGTGGAATCACCTAGTGAAGGATTCATGATCCCCCCTCCACTCTACCCTTACTTCCTCCCTTTTTCCTGCAAAAGGGAGGGATGGAGAGGAAAAGATTATTAACAAGGCAGCAACAAAAAGAGAAGCATTTTTAGCTACATTCTCAGAATTAGCATAAGCATTTCCACCATTGTCTCCCCTTAAAGTGAAGGACAGCAGAACCAGCATCTCCTGGGCCCACCACTGGGGCCCCAAATGTTGATGCACAAAAGTATGTGAAGAAGCAGTGGGAAGCATTGTGGCATTTAGCGTGACAGGAAACAGCTTCAAATTGCACCAGAGGAGATTTAGATTGGATATTAGGAAACATTTATTCATTGGAATAGGCTGCCCAGGGAAGTGTTTAAGTCACCATCCCTGGAGGTATTTAAAAGACACATAAATGTGGCGCTTAGAGACATGATTTAGTCGGAACTTGGTAGTGTTAAGTTTGCAGTTAGACTCCATGTCTTTTAAGGTCTTTTTCAACCTAAATAATTCCATGATTCATGGATTCCTCTGTCTCACTTTCTTCTATCTCTATATCCAAATATGCATGCTCCAGAACAGAGAGCTTCAGGAAACAGCAAAAGCTTTAATCCAACAGCTGTAACCAAGCAGACAGGGAACAGGGCAGAGAACCCAGCTGGCATGATCCCATTCAACCCTGGTTACTGCAGCTGGGTCACATACTAAACCTGCCATGTAACCAGAAAGTTACTTGTCAGCCACACTGGGAGCTTGCCAAATGCAACAGCAGGGAACCTCCACTCTCCACTTGGCACTGGAGCTTGGGGAACAGAGGGGCAGTTGATACAAAAATCACCAACTCTGGATTCCCCCAACATTTTCTTCTCCTGCAGAGAAATACCACCATGTACTGAGTTTTACAGGCAGCAAAAAATCCCACATTTTACACACCTATTTTCCCCTCCTTCCACATCACTGCCAGTTGAACCCTGCAAAACATTTTTAGCTTGGTAAGCTGTAGAAGGGAGAGCAGTTACAGGCTTAGGGGACAGAGCCTTTGCTGTAGAGAAGGCAGGAAAATGTGGCTCTTATCCTACAGTGAGCGAGGTTACACACATATTTTTAGTAAGAGGAGGAACTTCCACTAACATCACACTTCTATATACTTAGAAACACATTTTTGCTTTTATACTAGATTAGAGGACATTTTAAACACTGCATTAGCCAGTCCATTTATTTTACAAAAAAAACCACAGGAAATCTACCTCTTTTCCTTCCTCCAAAATCACACTTGCCATTGCACAGTAACTGCAAATACTGCTCACCCATCCCTGCTTTCAAGACACCACAGAAGTCACAGCTCAGCTGGATAAGATTTTAAACTGGCTAGTACCTCTGAAAGCACCTATAACTCTATGATTATAGAGTTTTCTGAAAAGAAATTATGAAAGATGGAGTCTGAATACATGGAGAAAACAAGCAGATCAAGGAGTATGTGGCATCATACATTCAATTAATACACTAGCTGATACAAAAAAAACCCAAACCCAAAAGCACAACTCTAAAAGAAGAAGGAAATTGAAACCCCATTATTGCTACATATTGAGCTTTACACTGTGGCAGGAAACCAGTTGCTTTGTTTTCTATCCCGTTGCTAAGAATTTCCAGTTCCCACATTGCTTGGGTGGCTGCCGTGAGAACTGACCTGAGAGTTCCATAGAATTGCATCCTCCCACCCCAAGACTTAGTTCTGAATGTTGAAATGCTCTTTCAATCCATTAATTATTCATTTCAGAGCACTCTCTTTTACGCTAGATACTTCACTGAATGACTGCCAAGTTCAGGTGTCTCTCGTTATGATAGAGCTTCCCCTTGTCCCTATGCTTGATAGCAGCTGAGCTTCACTTACAGAAGACACGTTGATGCAATATACACCACTAAGTTTAGAGTTTACTCAGTTGTCTGCAACAAATGTCAGGCCTATTGCTCTGTAGATTCCCAGAGCCCTCTCCTTTCCCTAAATAGAATTATAGAATCATAAAAGTTGGAAAGGACCTTAAGATCACCAAGTCCAACCCACAGCCCTACACCCCCCCAACACTAAACCAGCTCCTGAAGTGCCACATCCAGCCATTTTTTAAACACATCCAGGGATGGTGACTCCACCACCTCTCTCGGCAACCCATTCCAGTGCTTCACCACCCTTTCGGTGAAGAAGTGTTTCCTAATATCCCATCTAAACTTCCCCTGGTGCAACTTGAACCCGTTCCCTCTTGTCCTGTCGCTATTCACCAGGGAGAAGAGGCCAAGACGCATCTCGCTACAGCTGCCTTTCAGGGAGTTGTAGAGAGTGATAAGGTCTCCCCTCAGCCTCCTCTTCTCCAGGCTGAACAGCCCCAGCCCCCTAAGCCTCTCTTCATAAGACTCACCCTCTAGTCCCCTAATCTTTCTGGTTGCCCTTCTCTGTACCTTCTCCAGCACCTCCATGTCCTTCCTGTACTGTGGAGCCCAGACCTGCCACAGGACTCCAGGTGCGGCCTCACCAGTGCCCAGCACAGGGGCACAATCCCCTCCCTGCTCCTGCTGGCCACACTGCCGTTGGCCTTCTTGGCCACCTGGGCACACTGCTGGCTCATTTTCAGCTGGCTGCCTATCAACACCCCCAGGTCCCTCTCTGCCAAGGGAGTTGTTGTGGCCAAGGTGCAGGACCCA